TTCGATTGCGAAGTATATGGTTTTGATTCATCTACATCAGAAAAACACACATATTCTTTCTTAGGGAATATTTTAGTTTTCATTCCATGTAAACAAAAATCAATACACTCCCTAGTGTTCCTGATTATCTGCTCGTATTTTCTCATATTCCCATAAAATCCCTCTTCCTCCCACATATTTTCTTATATTCCTATATTTCCTATCACTTCTTCCATATCTCATTTGAAATATGCACCTATTCCCTCAGTGGTTAACCAGGATGTTGTCTTCTAGAAACTTGATTCCCTATTTGGAGATCAGCTGTTCGGCAAAAGGCATCGGGGAGCGGATTGGGACGCTATCAGCCCCGTGCATCGGCCAATATCAAATATCAGCTGTTCTTGGACGAACGTGTGGTGACGTAATCCTCGTCATGCGGCAGGACTCCGCTATGCCGATTGTGCAGACGAATCTTGGACGATGGTTCGGCGATCGGTCGTCCCACTCGGTCGATTTTCCGCTATTACGTGGCACGTAACTGCCAACATGCGAAGAGCACTTGGTCGGTATGCGATTCGTTGTAAAAGTGCGGACAGTTATTGCTGCATTTGTAGGTCATTAGACTCCTCCGGATTCCCGAGGAGCGCAATTAATTCCGATTCGAATGGTGCAGCTTAGTTCACTCTATTCATTGATGTTGCGAGCACCGTATAAATTACTTAAATGTCTCCATTTGCTTCCAAAAGGAATAAAAGGTCTTTCCAACAGAAAACATTTTTTAAATATAGTTGTATTCTGTTGAATTATTATTAAAAGAATTATTTATAGCCCTCAACATTATACTGTACTTATAATACAAACTGCAGTGCAAACTTTCATTCATTAAGAGTGTAATTAAAATCTACTGTTAAATTCACATCACTTAGGTGTACACAACATTTAAACAGAAGTTTTATGATACGAGTGGTGTTTGTAAAATTCCCAGTTTTGCAATAAATATTTTATTTACTTAACTAATTTATATCAATACTAGGTACAATGTAGTTTTTCAGTATACAGGGTGTAAGCAGTTTGACTGCCATTAATTCAGCATGAGATAATCATAAATTAACAAAAAAGTTGTATATTATAGGGACGTAAGATTAACAGTTTCTAAAATACAGCGAGTACTAACATTGGGGAGTTTCATCTCAACGTGACAACAGCGCTTAACCTGCTGATGCGCACACGTGTGCACGCGGCAGACTTGTCCTACGGAAAAAATGTAAACAACTATTATTGTGAAACATTTAGTAAACTTCAAGACAATTGTTTCCCAGTTTTTAAATAGGTAACATAAAATGTATGGATTTTATAGTACGAAGATAGTGTTGTGCTTAAATTTTAGCTCGAATTTTAGTAATTATGAATCTCTTAAAACAGGAACTTAACTTTTAATCAAGTTGCGTATTTGAAAAATATGTAATTAAAGTACCCAAAGATTCACGTCGTCCAAATAATCATACGTATAAAAAATAATTTAGGTACCTACCAAAAAGCAAAATTCAGTAATTTTTAAACGCCTCGTACTACAACGTATGCTCAAAATGTCCACCACCCTTTTCGATGCACACGACATTTTCGAATCCAATTTTCGTGCACTCGCTGGAAAACACCTCAAGAAAAGGAAATAGTGGTACGCAAGAAACATTCCGACACGGTCGGATCCAGATACCAACTGAATTACGTATTGGTGGTTGCTGTACACCTTAATATCTTGTGTTAATAAACCGCCGCGCCGTTGTCACATTGCTCGATATGAATTTTATTGAATTTTAAATTTATTACGTTAATTATTTTTTAGAATTAAGCATAGAGTAGTTAAAAAAAGTGTAAACATTGTATTTTATGGTGTTCTATGCGCGCAGTTATGTCAATATTCCTTAATTAATAGAACTTTGTACATCAAGTTGGAGATTTTGATAATTTTTTTTTTCGGAAATGGTCGAGTTTAGGACCCATGTCATATAAGGTTTTTTGTTTATTTGAACATATTCTATCGTCTGTTAAAATTAAGGCAGTCAAACTTCTAACATCCTGTAGTCTCCGTTTAATTGCATTCACGTATTCCAATGCGTAACCAAGTTTTGAATAGGTACCTCTTTCAAAGAACTTTTTGGCAGTATCTGCAATCTATCACTTTAGATCATTTAAATCTTGATACGGCACTTCCTACAAAGATTTTTTTAACTCTGGAAATGGATGAAAATAACTGTGAACTGGACCTGGCGAATGGCGTGATTGTGGAAGTAATTTCCGGATTAAATTACTTAAAACTTCCTTTGTTCATCAAGCAAGTAGTGAGCCAGAGAGTTCCGATAATATTCTTACAATAATTGTGATTTCTTTTGGCAAGTAATCTACCAAGATTGTCTCGCTGCAGTTCCAGAAGTCAAGATTTTCCACAAAATTTGAAAACATAATAACAAGTTCCCGTTTCCTTAATCATATAAGCATTATCAACATTATTTCTATAATATAATTTCATATATAATCGTAGAACCAGGTTAATTTTTATGTGAAACACATTTTGACATAACATTTAGCGGCACTAAAAATTTTAATTAGTAATTGGTAAGGTACTTCTCAAAAATGTATTCTTTTTAAAAACTTGCTGATCTTGTTCATCAATTGGGCAGAGTACGCAGAGCTTCAAATTGATATATGCAGAAAATAAGATCAATTCAATTCAATTTCTGCCTTCAAAAAGTATTCTGACAATTCATTGTCACCAACTGATAAGTTTTAGAAAATATCTATAATTATCGTTACATAAAAGTTGATCGGGGCTTCTCCAATTTTCTCAAAATTTTGTCTCCCCCCTATTTTCGATGGTGCTGAACACGAATCTGCAGTTTTTTTGTGCGGTCGAACTCAGTTTTCGAAATTCTAACCTGAATATTTCAGATAACACTACGTAAAACTCTGTATATTTTATGTATATGTATTTAATAAATAAAAATTTTGTAGTTTGAATCCGCCATTTGTAATTCGTGATGACAACATTGAGTTCCCCCACTCTCATTCATCTCTGTTCATCCCACATAAATTTACTATAATTTTATTTATTAAATACATATTTTTTTTTAGTTCAAATTTGGGAAAATGTGTTTCTTAAATAATGTTGATTGTTTATTACAGATGTTCTGATAGCTACATAAAATATACAGAGTTCTACGTTGTGTTATCTGAAATATTCAGGTTAGAATTTAGAAAAAATTTTTTCTCAAAAACTGGGTTCGACCGCACAAAAAAAACTTCAGATTCGTGTTCAGCACTATCGAAAATAGGGGGGTAGAGAACATTTTGTGAAAATTGGAGAGGGTGCCATTATAGTAAATAATTACCTCTTTTTGTTTCTTATTAAATAGACAATCTCAGAAGTTAACAACTTTTATGTTTCACTTTCGTAATTTCCTGAAAACTAATGAAAGATTTTTAAAATAAAAACATAATTAAAGATAACAAAACCAAATAAATCCATGTAAATATTACTACTAATTCTATTTTAATCAAAGTCAGGTTCGAGCTGCTGACCAAAAAACAATGATTGGACCGATACCTTATTTTCAAAAAGAAACTCCTTCGAGAATTAGTTTGCTAAAATTGTAAAACGTAGTGTACAGTAGGTATACAGGTTAATACCATCGAGAATAAACCAATAAATATAACTTAGTATAGAAATGGTTTCAGCTAAGATTCAGTTAAGGGAAACATGGACAAAATAAAGTATTGTTTACTTTTTAAATTATTTGGTTTAATGGTCAATGTTATGGAAAAAAAATTGTATTCGCATAGGACTAATGTCCATATGTTACCCGTCACAGCAAAGATTATCCAGATTTTGATCTTCAGTGCATCATAGTTATCACCATCCACTTACTTATCTACTTATCGTCTATTACATCCCTGACTTGATCATAATTAAACCCTTGTCTACATATTCAATACTTAGTTTTTGTAACATTTCTCTTTGAACATTCTTTAGAATATCGTTTTCCTTAATTTCACTAACATTAAAATGAATATAGACAAGATAACAGTTTATGTCATTTTGTGCATTATGATCTATAGTCTTTCCGAAGTCAGTTGAACATGTATAAAAACGCATAGCAATAAAATTTAAAGAGATTCATAGGCGTCCCTAAACAAGTTTTCTGCTAAAGATAAAAATTATAATAATTTGTATGTAATGTGTAGAAAATTTATATTATATGTTCATTTGGCCAACAACATATTTTAATTATTTATGTCCTCAAACAATTTTATTATATTGATGGTAAATTTCGTACTGTTCCGTTTCAAAAGGTCTCCAAAATACCATGTTGTAATAATATTAGTACACAAAATAACCCTGTTATTTCTCCCTTTCGCGATTGTAATATGAATGATTAATAGAAAGTGCCTATAATAAATTAAAATTACCTGAATCACACCAAATTCCGCAGTGCTGCACTGCACTGCTAGGCAATCGTCCAGTTCGTCTGTGTACGCCGTTTGCCCGCGCGTGCATTCTTCAACTGGGCGTATACATTTCTACCACCTCCACATTTAGTTCGACCAGACGTGTATATGAGTATGGCTAAATAAATATGGGAATAAGTTTTTCAAATATTTTAATGCCGAGTTGCTGCGTCAGCGACCAAACCTGGTACATACTGCCGACCTCTTGGTTCTTCAATTGCGATCGGAATTGCATAAATGTCATGTTTTTAAATAAGTAAATCCGCATGTTGACCAAAATTAAAATCACCAGCGTACCGCATCACTAACACTAAACTGTAATCACCATAATCAATTACATTTTCATCAACGAGTACCCTAGAATCATCCTGAAAGCGGATAAAAGGGACCGCTAGGTGATCAACCAGCGTCTTCATTTTCAGCATCATCCACACCATCTAAAACGGACTTATACGTGACCTACGTAATATAAATGCTCAGGTTAACTTCCCCCTTGTAATTCTGACGCTTTTTTACAGCCGTAAAGTTTGGACGGATGTCGAAGAAGCAGAGGGAGAAGGTGGAGGACGAAGTCAGATTCCACCGGGCGCAACTAAGGGCACAAAGTGACACCGCACCTGACAGCGTTTTCGAGCAGCAGACGCCTTCGAGTAGCGACCAATTACATCATAGTTATAACGGAGGGTAAGTGGATTTTACATTTTTATTAGTGGAGCGTAATTTTGGAAAGTTTCGAATGCAACACAGTAAATGTATGTCTTCTTTATTATTTGATTCAGTGTTACAAGGAACAATTAATGCCTTTCTCTGTATCATTGTAAAAAAATTGAGTGAAATTATTGAGTACATTTTCACTCAATATCGGGCATTTTGATCATTTTACTCATTTGTGATTATATTTAAACTAAAACTGAGTACTTTCACTCAAATATAAGTACTCCCTAAATAAATTCTTCACGTAAACTCGTATTTGGTGTACTTGTATACCTAAATCAGAGTAAATCTCCTCGTTACTGAGTGGGTTTAAATGTATATTAATTTCGAGTAATTCGAATGGCGCCGTGAAGATGGCACCACTTACATATTGCTTCTGTAATCTCGACCACAGTTAATAGGGGCCCGTTAGATGCTCCAGAAAAGCGTGGTCGCCAGGAGAACAGGCCTTAGCCGGCGGCGGTGGGTCTCAGCTGGCGGGTCTCGGCCAGGACAGGAGGAGGCCCCGGGAATTAATTTCAACACTGTATATCCTATTTAATCATTTATGACTGATTTATTTTTGCACAGAATATTTAGTTAATTAAAAACCAAGTCTGAGTAAAAAATGACTTAATAATAGTTAATTTTAAATCATAATAGAGAAATAGGTAAATTGGTTTTATATACTCAGAATAGAGTCAAAAGTCGTTCAATTGATAGTGCAGTAACTCGGATTTGAGTAAAACTCACTAATTTCTGATGCAATAGTTTCACTCAGTTGTACTCATACTAATAGAGTGAAAATTTCACTAAATCGGGTGTGGACAGAAATTGATAATTTATTGAGTAAAATTGAGTGAAATTTTTTTACAGTGTAGGTGTATATAAACTAAGATGCATTTTTGGATATTTTTTCATAATCACTCTTATTAACGAATTAGACTGTCCTTTATGAATAAAATGATAAATTGTGGCAACTATTTCTAACGATATCGAAGGGACAATTATATGTTTCTATTTATTTCTAATCTATGGTCATGTACCGGAGATCTCTTTTTTATACAACTTATAAAACTTAGTCGATTGTTTTCCTAGTTTATTTTTGATGATTAATGACTAATTGTAAGATTACCTACGAACATTTAGCGGTAATTTTCCTTAACTTGTTATTTTACAAAATAGCGATATAATGGATAACATATCAATTAGGATAACATATCAATTGCTGTTCTTTCTGTGACAGCGCCATGCCCTAAATACACTCCTTTTTTTTTGGTCACGTACAATTTACTTATAAGCTTAGTGATGACGTACCTCATCCACCGCAGGCACCCATCGTCCAGCCACATGAATGGCTCTTGGTAGTCCTAGTTACTACCATGATAATGCTATAATGTCGAAAACATTTTTTGGAAACACACACATCATTTTCACTTTATTTTTGAGACAAAATTACATTTAGTGATAATATTCATTCATTCATTAATATTGATGTACTTTTGTACAAAACACATTATTTAATTTTTTATGATCAAGGCATATCGCACTTATAATAGTATAATAATAATAATATCTCTACTCCTCATTCTAACCACGAGAATTAGCCCAGAAGTCGAAGACTTGTGCGGGAGAGGAGACGGCATATTATTATTAAGCAGGCCGCATTTGCGCCCAGGAACGACTTATGTTGGTAGGTCCTAACCACCATTCAGTGCAGGTATAAGGGAAACCTGGAAAACCTCATAATTGGTCAAATGCCAACCGATGTCAATCTCTCAAATTGATCCAAACCAACATTCTTCCACCCTACCATACCTGCACAGAGGGTGTCAACCCTCCGTACAAGCATAGCTAATTTACGATCTACCGGCCGCGGGAATCAAACCCGGGCAAAATTAGCGCACATCGATTTAAGGACTGGCGCCTTAAACCGTGCGGCTACCGGCTTATGGGGATTAAAATTAAAAAAATATCATTAGCGATTATCTTCTGTAATACTTGAATACACTCTTATATTCAGCACCCCCTTAAATGAGTATGAAATTTTAGAAGTTTTGCAGATAAAAATAATGAAAATATGCTATTATTATTACAGACAAAATAAGTCATGGAATAAACATCGATTACAAACAAAACAATGACAACAAAATTCTCATTATTATAACTAAGCAAAATAACATGTAACCAATAGCGGTATAAGGTAATTGTACTCAATAAATTAAAGTTTAAACAGCAAAACAATCACAAATAATAATTATTAATTTCAATTCGTGTTTTTCGTTGTTTCTATTGACATTAAAAAAGTTCATTTAAATGGAATATGAAACAATAAGATGATAAAGCTCTTGATCAAAACCGAAACGTCGCGCGCCGTTGAAAAAGTAGTATATATTATTTGTAAAGAACTAAGTTCCGAGAAGTCTAAACCTCTTATATTAATTAGTTTATTAGAATTAATTTTGTCATCTGGTTTTAATGTTTATTTCATAGTTTGCTTTGTCTATAATAGTAAATGTATAAAAATTTATCTGTAAAAATTTTGAAATTTCCTAATTTTTATGAAATTGGTTGGTTGAGGAGAGTACTGAGTAAAGAGATATTAGATATTAAAATTTAAAATAAAGTAATTTGTTAATATATATCTACGATTTCTTCAATTTTGGCCCCAATAAGAAATTGCGGCAGGCCTAGATCACAAAAAATAGAATACGATGTTTTGTATTTAAAGTGAAAAGTTTATGGAAAAAAAAATTCCGGTCAAAATAGATTAATAAATGCAACTTTTATTAGGATCACTCTTTACATTTATAAACTAGAAATCTCCATCTAAATAGTTACGGAAAATTTTATTAAAAAGTGTTAAGAGTATTTAGAAGACCTGAAACGTCCTGTTTTAAGAAAGGCCTGCTTTATTTTGAGAAGAAGCTTTAACAAAATTATTTTTATCTAGTTATCACTTTCCCTGTATAGTAAGTAATTTCATAGTATTTATATTAGTAGAAGTACCTTTCGCTAATATTTTTACAATATGATATATTTTTTTAGGAATTAAATTTACATTTATTTTCACAAACTATAATTTCAAGACCTTAATACCATAAGCTTTCCTCATTTTATAGCTTGTTACAATAAATTAATAAAACATGAAAAAATATATTTTAGAAAACATCCTTTAAAAATTTCCCCGTTAATTTTTTTAATGTCATTTGGCAGAAAAAGTCGATGATTGTATGATACTGCCTTATTTTTTTTATTATTGATATGAAAATATTTAGTAGTATATCAGAGAAAGTAGTGACAGAAGCAAGCATACGTTGTAAAAAAAATTCACTCAAATTTCCCTTAATTTTACTCAATAATGTATCAATTTCTGCCCACACCCGATTGAGTGAAATTTTCACTCTATTAGTATGAGTACAACTGAGTGAAACTATTGCATCAGAAATGAGAGAGTTTTACTCAAATGCGAGTTACTGCTAACTATAAATTGGGTGACTTTTGACTCTTTTCTGAGTAAATAAAACCAATTTAGAATTGACTTTTTCCCTAAAATGATTTAAATTTAACTATTATTCGATAACTTGGAAATACCGACATTATCCATCTACATCAGACAATCGCCAACGTTACTCTGCTATTTGAGAGGACGCGTACCACAACTTCCGACTTAAAAGATTGAGTTTTGCCGAAAACGGAATCGACGGATAAAGTAAATCCATAAAAAATTACGTCCATTTAACCCAGACCGATGTAAAATGGCCTGTTTAGAGAGGGAAAACTAGGTCATTTTGATGTCGGATCGGCATAACGGGCTGCCCTACATTTTGCCATGCTAGGAAATAAATATGTTCGCTGTGTTGCGGTTCAGGATTCCTTTCCGAAGCACACTTCCGGTCGGATTATCACACGTCATTAAAACAACAAATTTGATGACGACGGACTTTTAATGTTTTTTATATTGCTTCCTTTACAGAATATTTATACCATTTTTTAAAATTACAATAAAAATAATTTATTTTCTTAAGTGGTTTCGAGAGATTTAAAATATATTTTTTAATAAAATTTAAATATGGTTGTAATATTGTGTAGTGTCTAATCCAAATAATATAACTCAAGGTATACATATGTATATCATAATTTTGTACTACAAATTTCTCAAAATTAAAGATACGCATCGCTATTCAAACATGTGTCGTCATATTTGAATTTTTGGCGAAGGAGCCAGTTTTAAATTTTTTATTCTTTCTCGTTATAAAATGATTTAGAGCATTATATACAAATTTAAATACAGTGGTTAATATCTAAAACCAGTTGGTATTCAATAAATCTAGTTATGTTTAATGATTTTTATCAATATACTGTTCTTTAATTTTAAAAAAGTGTTGCTAAATAAATGGGTTACTCTTTTTAGGTTTAAATGTCAATCATTTAATTGAACTATGCAAATTATACTAATGGAAGTCCTGTGTCTTTCAGAAAATTGATACAAATAATCCTATATTCAATATATGCCACTGCTACTCGATGCCTTAACCTTTGAAACGGCTAAGTATACTGATAGAGAGCGACCTGCTATTTTTAAAACGAGATTGTGGGAAATAACTACTCTGTAGACTAGTTCCCCAACAAGCACTGAATTATCCCAGTTATTTGTCAGTTACGCGGCTTGAAAGTTACGCATTAAGTAGCAGTGATCATTCATAGAAGTAGCACTTTTAATCTCACCTACACTCACTCTAGTTAACACACTACTTCTGAAAATTAATAAGTTTGAAGACGGTATACATCTGGTGGTTAAGCTGAAGATTGATGCTAGCTGTTTTCTTCTGCATACTGCGGGTAAAATTCCGCAAAATAGTTGGTTCCCGCCATATCATGGGTTTAAAATCCTAAATTCCTTCTTGACAAGTTTTATTTAGTTCGATTTGTGTGGTAATATAAAACAAAAATATATACAATGTCTAACTAGCACAAAATAAATCATTCACCTACAAGAGGTACAGAATGTATCGTTCCAGGCTTCTATGACAGTTATCTATACGCCTATTCATTTTATTGGGTCTTTCTTAATAGCATCACTCCCCGTTAGGCTCTTCATCTTTTGTCTCATCCACTCTTTTTGCAATTATTTGCCAGTCATAACCAGTATTCTAAAAACATACTTTGACCATCTTATCATTTAAGTGTCTGTTTCTCCGTAAATCCTTCTCAGAATTTCTATTTAAGTATATTTAAAATATTCAGATGTATTCGGAAGTAACAGAGAAGATATAGGTATAGATAAATCTCATGTAATGGTGACAACCACCTTTCTGCAATCAACAGATTCAAGCCAAAATTTTTCTCTGGAATCCTTTCCTAGGATATAGATATACCTATATTGAAACATATGAAACGGGTGGATTAATAAATCAGCAATGTGAAGCAGTTGTAAAGAATTTGTATTTAAAAGTGTTCAAAAACTTTGGAGCTCGCTTTGAGAAAATGAATATTTAGAAATTATGACGAAATTAATAATTATATCTCTAATTGAGTTAGATTTGCTGTATTTTCCTAATACCTTCGTATTAACGATGTTTTCAATGACGCATTCTTTCTGCGACACTTTAATATTTATTGCATTTTCTAATTCTGCTTATTTTTATTATTCTTGCATTTACATCTTCATTCTAAGCCTTCATAAATTGTTCTCAAAACTTTTTTCTAGATATATTTGGAGTATTTAAGAATTAAATTGAATCTGATGGTGATCACTTATAAGCGTAAATTGACTGTTAGAAAATTTTGTTCAGAGGATATTTAAAAAAGTAACGGCAAAGCAAATATTTCTTCAAAAGGACATTCCAAATGAGTGAAGATACTCTCTCTAATAGATAAGATCATGCGATGTAGATACACATCTTTCTGCTACAAACAGGATCAAGAGCAATTTTTTTTGCTGGAAAGGTTCTGTTCAACTTTTCTAGGACAGATAAACCTGTTCTAGAATAGATCGAAAAAGGTGATATAATGAATAGAGCCTAGCAAACGCATTTTTCGAAGAAGCGCGGGACCAACAGTGTGAAGCTGTTAGAGGATTTTTTGTTGAAGTGTCATGAGAACGTAAACTCTTTCAAATCCTGCTCTCAGAATATTTCAAATCTTTCAAAATATTATTATTGATATCATCTTCTTGCGACTGTTTAATACTATATTTTCTGTTTTTACTCTTTCTTCTTCTACCTTATTAGGATACGATTTAAATAATTGACACTCTCAATATTGCACTTCTTCTTGAAATACACGAATAGATATGCGTTATAAATTACAAATGTTTTAAATTATCGCTTAAAAAAATTAAAAATAAGTTTCCCAAAAAGGATCTTCGAAGAACCACGCTTTAGGGAACTATTACAATAAGAATGAAATTGCATAAATCGTTTAGTTGACTTATTAATTCATTTAACTCTTTTATTACATTCCAGATATGCCTACAACAGCGAGGTGGGCACATACACGCCGTACTACACGGGGCAGACGCAAGTACCGCCCAACTCCATGGGCTATGACATCTCGGCGGACTTCGTGGACAGCACGACCGCCTACGATCCACGGCCGGGGCTCGACGCCCTAAGCGACAATGGCAGCCTCATGACCAACGTCGTCACCACAGGTACCGAGTTCTTTCGTGATTGGCTTTTTTCCAGAGGTTCGATACATATTAAGTAGTCTGATTTAGGTACTGAGATCGACGGTTCACGTTTATCGGAAAGTTAGTGCTTCTTAAGGGCAGTTTTTGTAGAAATCTGTAAGGTATCTTCAATGAAGGTGATTCCCCAAATTGAATTTTGGTCACTTTGAAAATTAAAATAGATACAGAAAATCAAATATCTAATACTAGTAGTACTAGTAACAGCACAATATTTGAAATAATTTGAAGATTCATTAATAAAAGATGTTATTCTTCCGTAATGCACTCTTCTAAGCGCCCAACAAAATTATTAATTAGATTTTGCAATATTTGTTCGCCAAATTCCATCCTGTTTATCCCTTTTGAAGCCAGTAAGATGTTTATTCATAAACATCTTCTGCTTAAGGTAGCCCCAAAAAAATTTGGTATGGTAAGATTGGATGATATCGCCGGGGCAAAAGTTCTTAGAGTATTCCATAGATATTTCGAGATAAATGTTCCATCTGTCACATTTTTCTATGTTTTTCGAAGTTATTGTGACAGAATGGTCATTCTCTTTCAGTAATAGAGTCTGGTCAAGACGTAGCAGCTTTGTTTTCCGTGTTTTTGTCTGAGTTGGTTGTTTACTGTCATACTGACATCAATACATTTTTCGAGTCCGATCTCAATAAAAAGGACCTACGAACTGCGGCTCCTGCAAGCCTGTCAAATTACTACAAGGAAGTTGTTTATACTTCTGCTGGCGCTCACGTGTAGAACCTCTGGCACTTGTATCCTTTCCAGCATACACAAATTTTCCACACGTCATCCAATCCGGCTCGAAGGACCAACTTTGTAATGTTAATGAAAGACCCTTTTTATTTTTGGACTACATTTTTATAAAATCAAATATAAACAACTTCCATGTAGTAATTTGACAGAATTGCAGGAGCCGCAGTTCGTAGGTCCTTTTCATTGAGATCGGACTCGAAAACTGTATTGATGTCAATATGACAGTAAACAACCAACTCAAACAAAAACACGAAAAACAAAGCTGCTACGTCTTGACCAGAGTTCAATAATTCATAGCGTGTCTTGAGATGCATAGAGTGGTATTTGGTGAGTTTGCTAATAACGAAACTTGTATCTGTGCATAACCATTCAGATGAAATTGCACCTCGTCACTCATAAAGAGATGCTTTGTGTTGACAGGTTTGTCTATTAGGAATTAAAAAAACAAGAAACATTCCATGGATTGCATAACTGAATTTAAAAATTCACCAATAGTAATATTCGGTCGACATTAAACAAAACTCCAAAATCTAATACTTAGTTAAGCAATACACTATTGATGCAGTCTTCGATATAAAATCGGTATCGCAGATTAAACATGATAATAGATATTTGAATATTTCTGTATGTGCTGAAATTAATACCCACAAAAATCTAGTAAAACTTTCAATTTGTGGTTTTCGGAACATGTATTTGTTGCCAAAATTCGATTTCTAATTACCTCACTCATATATCATGACTATCGATGAACCATGTCTTATTCTTCATAGGACATCTATAAGTTCATATTTTGATATTTGCCAGAATAGAAATTGCGATCTGATACTACTACAGAAACATTTTTTTAATGATAAAAAATACTCTCGATATCAGTACCGTAATTTAAAACATATCTTTATGCATGTTTGGAAAATGGTCTCTAATAATAGTCCATGGACCCACGTACAAAGAAAAAAATGATTACCAGCAAGCTGTAACTTTGCGTGCAGCTTAAGTTTGACGAGTCTCCCAAGATTTGACTGTGAGGAAAATTCAACAGTGATAAGTTTTTCCGTGATTTTCAGGAAAACATGTCAATCTGGCATAAACATGGAATGTTATGACCAGCACTTTTTTTAAGTTTAAATGAAAGATATATATTTTTTTAAAACCCCCAAAAAATTTGTCCGACAAAAATGTTGGTATTTTGAGTTTGTCCGCCACCCCAAATATGTCGATTTGGTGACATTATGGTTGGTGACAACCAGCAAGCTGATTTTTCTGGGAGGGTTTGGTAATAAGATTTGAAATGAAAGTATCTTATTGTCCGACAAAATTCTTGAGAAGTTTTTGCAGCCCGACACCCCGAAGACGTCGACTTAACGACAACATGGTTGGTGATAATCAGCTGTCGGACAAAAGCGTCATTATTTAAAAAAATGCATTAATCTGAGAATTTAATTGTCCGACATAATTATCGGTTTTTTTTTGCTTGTCGGACAAAATTAAACAATACTTACGCATGATGTAGAAGAAAAAATTATATTTAATAAACAAAAATACATGAATAAAAAAATTTTTGTTTAAATTTCTCAAATTTCAAAATAAATATGACTAATTTAAATTTATTTTTTTATACAATTACAAAAAAATTGTATACAGGGTGGTCCCGAGCTAATAGGTCAAAATTCATAGGTAGATTCTCGAAGCAAAAATATTGCGATTTAGCCGAACTTACCTTAGTCCAAAAGTTGATAGTTAAAAAGATACAGGGTGTTAAATGTAAAATATTATTTTAGTTTTTTTTCATTTACTTATTCCTTAACAAATGCAAATATCCTCACAAAATTCTTTAAGTAGAGGAATTGAAATGTGTTCACATTTTGGTTAAAGTTCATAGAGGGCGCTAGCTGAAGTAGATTGAATGTGTTAAAAACGACATAACTTTTTTATACTTTAAGGTATCTCATCTTTGGTATCAAATTCTTATTTTCCAAGTTTTTTTTTACACAAAATAGTTACACTTTATAAAACTAGCTGTCTCGCACCGTTTTCGAGATATTTAGCTTTGAAACATCCAATGCCGTTGAATTAAATTACAATGAAGTACCTACCTATTATTAATTTAGCGGTGAAGTTTCTGAAGTTTGGACGAAAATCAAATAATTGACATATTCCACTTGTCTTACCGAGACTTCCGTTTTTGGGGTTACAAATCAGTTATTTATGGAGAAACTATAAACACTTGTTAAGAACTTTGGCAGCAGGTTTTAAATGGTACAAAGTCATTTCGCATTAAAGATTTATACTTTACAACAAGACAATCTTTTAATAAACGCGTTGATAAATGTATAATAATATTTTTAAAATTGGTTTAACTGGTTTTTCAAGAACAAAACTATGTGTAAACTGTTTGTCATAACAAGATTGCAAATTTTAATTTAAAAAACACAAGCAAAAATGTATGCATTCATTGCACAGTTACCATTTTTTATTAAATAGTTACAATAGTTTATAAAATAAAATGTACATATAAGTTTTTTGAACAATGAAATCATTTTGATGGATATTAATTAAATTAGTTAGACGTAATTATTTACGAATTTCAATTTCTGTTGCTCCTGTTAACAAGATAATTTTCTTATTTATTCTTCTTTATTTTTTCATTAAAAAATTAATTATTTTTATAGCGGAATGAACATTACGTAAAAAAATAGTTATTTTTCCCATTTTTAAGGCAAATTTTCCAATCGTTTTGTCGGACAAGTAAATTATTGTATTATCCATTTCAATTATTAGAGGAAAAAATAAAAACCAGATTGCTGGTTATCACCAACCATGTTGTCGTTAAATCGACATCTTCGGGGTGTCGGACTGCAAAAACTTCTCAAGAATTTTGTCGGACAATAAAATACTTTCATTTCAAATCTTATTACGAAACCCTCCCAGAAAAATCAGCTTGCTGGTTGTCACCAAATCGACATATTTGAGGTGGCGGACAAACTCAAAATACCAACATTTTTGTCGGACAAATTTTTTGGGGGTTTTAAAAAAATATATATCTTTCATTTAAACTTAAATAAAAGTGCTAAGTAATAACATTCCATGTTTATGCCAGATTGACATGTTTTCCTGAAAATCACGGGAAAACTTACCATTGTTGAATTTTCCTCATAGTCAAATCTGGGGAGACTTGTCAAACTTAAGCTGCACGCAAAGTTACAGCTTGGTGGTAAACATTTTTTTCTTTGTACGTGGGCCCGTGGACTATAAGCGTGTTTTAATAACAATTTATCAAATAAAAAATGAAACTAATCACTTTTCTTAAAAAAAACTGAAAGTATTAATTAATTTTAAACCTCTAGGATTGTAAAAAACGAACTCAATAACGATGATAATTTAAAATGCCATTTTCTTCTCCAAAAACACTTATGATAGACCATTTTCCAAAAACCGTTCAATCTTCACGAATCACCGATGCCTATTTCGTCTCATTCGCCGGCCTGTTAACCTGGTTTATGGTTTAGGGAATACTAACACAAATAACGGCTGTGGAGGTGGTGGCGGCAACAAACAAACAACCCTGTCCCTGTCCGATTCCCGCACATTTAAACGGGTCAGTCAGACGTCATCTAGCACCACCCTCTCCGGTGGTACCGTGGTATCGGTGAAACAGGAGGGCGCGGTGGAGAACCTGGTGCCCAGTTATGTAGATAGTACGACGTTCGTTAGTTCCCCGAACATGCAACAAACTAACACGATCCGGCAACAGAGTAGCGCGCAAAGTGTGCAGCATAGAAGCGGAGACGATTGTGAGTCTGTAGCTTTACCCAGTAAGTCCCTTCCTAACTAACACTTAAATGTCTGTGATACTAACGCTCGCGTGGGTCACGCCAATTCAAATATTTAACCTTGCAAATGCATGCATTTCATGTGCAGCCTCGCATAATCTTACGTAATGGAAATAAGTACGATGGTCCACTATATAAACAGATGTTTCATTTGCACTGAGTGGCTACAAAACATAAAAACGTCACGTTAGTAAAGATTTCCTCAAGTCACGGAGCACTGAATTCTTTAATAAGCTGTTTCTGGATTTCCAAAGAAAAATTCCTCTTTTCCATGACATTTCCCTGTTTTAATGTTTCCCATACGTATCTACCTAAAATTCCAATATGGTCAGCTGCACCTTCAGTATCTCACTGATGCATCCAGATTCACTATAAAATTCCCTTCCTTCATACCAAGTTTCATCATTTTTCCCAGTTTTCTATATTCGTAGGCACAACGTTTCAAATCTTTAACTTTGCGTAATCAAAGTGCAATTCCCATTCTTCTGACGTCATTAGAAAGGAAGCATCATGATAGTCTTTGGAAATCCAAAGGATAACATGTTTTATGTATTAAGAAGTATTTAAAACATTTTGTAGTATCACCGTTTCTATTGCATTTTAAACCATAAAAATGTAAATGGATTACGTTTCCAATTTCGCACATACTAATGCCTAGTGCAGATCTACAATGTTTAGATATAAATGTTTTTAAACAAATACCCGATGTAAAAACAGAAACATCTGCCCGTAAACGAAACCAAACGTCAATTATAAAGGGTTTTGATTGCTCCTGAACGAAAATTTAAGGGTAGAAATAGTATGTTTACGTCAGAAAATATTATTCATTCGGTTTCAATATTTCAAAGTGAAGCAACTTGCAGGCTACATTTTTCTGTGTTCAAGTAGTTATTATTTGAGGATGACATTTTTCACAATGGAGTTGAAAATAATGATAATACTGGATTCCGAGATTTTTTACTCACTGATTTCGAAACTTAAAGTAAGTCCGTAAAAGTTGCGATGGCAAGCATTTCTCGGCCAGACTTCCTATTCTGGTCCGGATTCGATCCCTGGTGTCGGCACTGGCAAAGTCGATAGATAATGGGTGTTTATCTGCGTTTTTCAAGTGTAGCCCCCTTCCGCACAGACTTTGGCTTTGGATTTGAGGGCTGTCTCATTTCTGTGGTGTTTTATGTTTAAAAGATACAAAATATGTCCACACTAGTTATTTCCGGACAAATGTTCGTGTTTAAAACTCTTGTTTTCCATCATAGATGGAAAACAAACAACTCAGATGCATTTGTATAAATATTTTTACACGAAATTTGCAGTTTTTTACATATTTGTGAACAGAAGTATGTAGATTTGGACTGAACTTAAGCAGCTAAATCCTTGTTTCATATATAGACGCAACACAGCTTGGCATCATTGAAATGCACTCATTTCCATGACAATCAATGTTTCATCTCTTGTTACATAAAACTGATTATATTATTGTTTTCAGATCCAAGTCAGATATCAGAACTTTTATCAAAGACAATATCAGACGCACACACCCGTACTTGTTTGTATTCGCTCGAACATATTCACGAAATGTTTCGGAAACCGCATGATCTCACCCGACTGCTATTCTACAAGAACATGGTGCACGAGGACCTATGGCTGGAGTGCGCGCAAAAACTCACAACAATCATACAACAAATCATTGAATTTGCTAAAATGGTACCTGGATTCATGAAATTATCGCAAGATGATCAAATCGTCCTACTCAAAGCAGGTAAGGAAGTTAAGGTGAAAGGTAAATTTTCACGTAGGGCGTCGCATCCGGTCTGTCTTGTTGCGTGCCTTTCGACATTATCGACCATGCACCACGCCAAAAACGTATCAGTAGATAGACATCCAAACATCTAGCATACTGCTGAGAACTAATAGGTTCGAAACCGGTCTTTCTGATTATTCTACCGATGATATGATAACATCTATCTGTTTACTGGATATTGCGGATGTAATTCAATGCTGGTTAGAGTTTTAGTCCACAGAGTAGTTGTTTCCCACAATCATATTATTTAAATAGGACATGTTGCTATTCCAAAATCAGATGACACTCATTGTGTTCTGATCGTGCACGATGCCCTATGTAAAAATTTACTTTAATACTAAAAAACCAATAGGCTGCTATTATCTCACATTTCGTCTCATTCCCAAGTATTTTCTTATATTCTTCTACATTTCTTATTATTCTCTGCCCACTCACATTGAAATGTATCATTAAATATTTTGTTTTATTTTGAATAGTCAATTAAAATCCCTTTTTAATCCTAAATTCAAAATTTTTTTATCATCGTGACAATCACCAATAACCAAAATGTAAAGGTTAATGTGAACATAGTCTCAGCTGCTATTTTGTTGTCTTCAAAGCGATTTTGATTCTGATTTTATAAAATTGACAGTATTCAGATATTACATCTACAGAGCTTTTATAAATGATTACAAGCCACCTGACCAGTAATTTTTTTGGGAAAACTAATTTTATTTCCTTCAAATTGGCAATTAAATTCCTGTAAATTTAAAACAATGCGATCAAGATTACAATTTTTCACGAAATTCTATCGCATTATCTCCAGCTTAGACGTAACAGTTTGTCATTGTTCATTGTAAACGAGACAGTAATATTGCTGGCGCAAAGATTTGGAAATTTTTTACTTGACAATACCAGCCGTGCAATGTTGGTTGCCTAAACTCAGTGATCACGTGGCTTGTACTCATTTATGAAGGCTCTGTATTTCTAACTACAAGGAGACTGGTCCTTGGTTCAAGTTTTTTAAAGTTTGTGATGCATTCTCATTGTTATATAGTTATAGGCCTAGAACTACTACTTGAGGAAGACCATTATTTCTTTCTTCCTGTTTGTTAATAAGTCATGTCTTTTGCAGGAAGTTTTGAATTAGCAATAATACGAATGTCCCGATATCTGGACCTATCTCAGAACAGTGTCCTTTACGGAGATACGATGCTGCCACAGAATCTCTTCTTCAGTTCAGACACCACGGAAATGAAACTGGTCACTTATGTGTTCGAAGTGGCTAAGAGTATAGCAGAACTAAAGCTGACAGAAACCGAATTAGCTTTATACTCGGCATGCGTGCTCTTGTCTCCAGGTAAGTGTATCTATTTTATGGAAAAATTTATGTTTTCTCATTTGATCCTGTTGCAGATCGACCCGGATTGAAAGGTATAGGCGAGATTGGAAGACTTAGCCAAGCTGTTCTTAAAGCTTTAAGACTTGAACTTGACCGAAACCACAGTCTACCTATTAAGGGAGACGTTACTGTTTGTGATGCCTTGCTTACTAAAATACCTACATTAAGGTAAAATATTTTGCTTAAACCACAAAAGACTTGTATATATTTAAATTATCAGATTTATTCCACATTTAATAATTTGAATCTCTTAAGGAATTAAGATGTCCAATAACATGATTCATTTTCATTTTAGGGAAATTAGTATGCTTCACATGGAAGCTTTAGGGAAACTGAAAAGGTCTGCGCCCCATCTGGACTTTCCAGCGTTACATAAGGAGTTATTTAGTGTGGATAGTTGAGAACCTTCTGACACATCTCCTGATCTGTAGCAGCAGCCTTGTGTAGCTACTGTAAGTATTGATTCAAAGTGCAGAGGATCATGAATTATATGTAACTCATAAATTATTACTGGTGTGAGAATACTTAAAATTTATTCTCTCTCAAATTTCTTAACTCCTATCCATAATCCTTACCCTCTAAGTCTGTAATATGATTTTTTTTTTTTAAATCCCTCTTTAAAAAATTAAGATAGCGTTCAAAATTTTAGTTACTTAATTCTGTCACTGTAGGCAAATAATCAAGAAACTTAAAAACAACAAGCATTTCAGAAACATAATCCTTAGAAAAATTTTTAATCTTCGTAAGTTACTATCAAAATATAGTTTTACCATTGAGTACTTACCTATGCCAAGACCTAAAATCAACAACAGTTTCAGATGTGAAATAATTCTAGCAGAGGTTTTCTCAGCAGACAAACCCTGAAAATTTTTAAAACTATTAAAATGTGAAATTAAATTTACTGAGATGAAATTGTTATGTTTTCTAAAATTAAGTTGAATATTTCTGAAATATGTTTGAAAAAGATGAAACAGGTGTACATCTATCAAGAATATGCATACCTACAGAAACTTGAGAATAAAAGTCAATATATAGGGGTTGCTAACTTAGAGATCTCAAAAGGGTTGCATATACAGGGTGATTCACAACTTATCCAAAAAAATTTGGGAATAGATGCAGCATGAGAAATGGAATGAATATCGTAAAAAAATTTTTGTAAAATCCTTATAGTTTCCGAGAAACAAAATATTGAAGTTATAGTATATTCAACCACTACATAGCTGGACAACTGTAGTCTCTAGGGTCATTCGCCACGTGGCCTCAGCGACTCTGAATACTGAATTTGGAATTTTGCAATCGTCGTTGCGATATTTATTTGCTATCTGTGGTGTTTACAACAGGTTTTTAGTAGTTAGTGTAAAAAATGGGTAGTTTGTGTCAAAAATGGTTTGTGTGTTGATGGATATCGTTTTAATTTATGGTGAAGCATTTGTGTGTGTTATGGTGAAACAAGACAACATTTGTGTTAGTTCGTAGAAACTGAGTACAACGGACCCAAATGTGTTTACACATTGGTGGATAAAATTTTGAACAATTGTTGTAACATCGGGTATGTCAAATGATTTTATTATTTAAAAACACAAATTAATTTTATTAATTAATAAAGGCAAAAGCAGTTGAATTTGCCGATATAAAATAGGTGCGATAAAATTCTATTTACATATTTCTTTCCTTGCGAAAGTTTTTGTCCGTTTTTATCACACCGCCATTTCGATCGCATTGTGCGAGGTCGAGTTTTACAGTGGACCAGTTTCCAGTGCCGTGCAGAAGTGTATTTTTAAATCATTTTCGAACTGCCCTTTTTGATTTTTTCTTTACAAAATTGCATTTGTAAGGGACCTCTGTACATCCAAAATTTTTTTTTGGATAAGTTCTGAATCACCCTGTATATTTGCAAAATGTTTTTTCTGTAATCCACTGATAAATACAAACAGCTGTTTTTATTTTCCTCAAAATTGTTATTTTTCATAAAGTTACAGCATTATGAAAATTGAAACATAGGAAGGCTAGTATCAAATTCAAATTTAAATAGGTATAACTACATACAGAATTTAATTTTGTCAAGAATGAAGAGAAAAATATTTTGCACAAATATGTGAAACCCTTTTCAAGATCTCACGGTTGGCAACTCCTATTTTAATTTTTTATTTCGTAAATCTCGTTTGAAGTTTCTTCATCATAAATGTTGTTTCTGTGAGCTTAAAAAAAATTCCGTAAAACACAAGTATCGGTCGCATGCTTTTCTTCAGTAAGTTAGAATAATAAAATACTGACAATTTTGGCACAAAAAAATCCTATAATGATGCAAAAGTTTTGTAAAATCTAAGTTTTTCAAATTAAAATATATTTCAGTTAAGTAATATTATACTGCCCTCATAAAACAAAAGATTGTATCTGTAAAATACCTATTTTTAATTCTCTATTACACGGGGTGATTCAGAACTTATCCAAAAAAAAACAAATTTTGGATGTACAGAGAACTACAATTTTGTAAAAAAAATAAAAAAGGCAGTTCGAAAATGATTGAAAATAGTAAAAATACACTTCTGCATAGCACTGGAAACTGGTCCACTGTAACCTGACCTTACACAAAGTGAAGTGTAGTAAAAAAACAGACAAAAACTTGTAAGAATTTTACAAAGAAAGAAATAAATAGAATTTTATAACACCTATTTTATATCGGCAAATTCAACTGAGTTTACCGCTATTGTTATTATTAATTAATGAAATTAATTAGTTGCTATACACGTAAGTCATTTTTGACACTAACTACTAAAAAACTATTGTAAATACTATCGCAATGACGTTAATACTAATTGTAAAATCGGATTTAAGTATTCAGAGCGTACAACGCGAATGACTCTAGAGACATTTGTCCGGCGATGTAATGGTGGAAAGTACACAACTTCAATAATTTTTTTCTTGGAAACTATAAGAATTTTACAAAAATTTTTTTAAGATATTTACCCAATTTTTTCGTGCAGCATCCATTCCCAAATTTTTTTGGATAAGTTGTGAATCACCCTGTAGACTGAGCTTACAGATATGTTACATAAACATATTAAATTTTAATATACTATCTGATATTCTATACCTTCAAAATATATGAATAGACATCAAAATATAGTATAAGCGTACATAACATTTCTGTGAATCCACTTTAATACAGATCCTCCATAAATGATTACAAGCCATGTGACCATGCAATAACTTTCTTTGGAAAAGTTATTTTATTTCCTTTGCGTTTGCAATTAAATTTTGGTAAAATTAAAAGTCAAGGTTACATTAGAACATAAAATTCTGTTTCATGGCTTTGTGATTGGTGTAATTTTGCACGATGTTTTATTCATTCAATGGGCGGTCACATTATCGCGAGCATAGTCGCGACGGTTTGTCATTGGTGATTTTAAACGAGTCTTAATATTGATGATTGTAAAATTTTGGAATTTTTAGTTGACAGTAACAACCGTGCAATGTTGGTTGCCTAAGCTCATAGGTCACGTGGCTTGTAATCATTTATGAAGACTCTGTATGTATCGAACCAAATATCAGATAGGACCTTTTGTTGTAGGGGGGCAAAACGGATGTAATATGCACATATATAATGATTCCTGACTATTCATGAATACTCAGTATTCCCTAATGACTCGCTATTCATCAGTATTTGGGAATCCATGTATACCCTATTATTCATAAAATTCTTTCAGTGCTCGTGAATCTATTTCTAAGTATTGAATTCTGAATACATATTCAAAAGTGATGAATATTGTTTAATAAACGTATTCAACCCTTGTATAGTGGTTACACAAATATTGTATTGAATACCTATCTCTGACATCTATGAAATTTTTTTTGCCTTGTCTTATGGCATGCGTTATGTACCTATTACATTTTACTTGTGACGTATTGACTGATCAATTGTGATATTTTAGTAAAAACCTTTTTTTCTCTTGTTTCAGATTCCTTCATACTGAATGTATCGGCCTTAAATACATAAATAATATTAAAATATAATTTCGTTATTATGGAATAAAAATTTATTGTTGTGACATAGAAATTTAAAGAATCGCAGATCTCTGAGATATCGTTTAAAAAACTGCAAAAGCTGTCGAGCCAGGCCCTGATTTCAAAGTACAACTTATTGTTTGTTGTTTGTTATTATATCTATGCAGAGTGTTGAACGGTTCTGAATCCTAGGTGCTGATTTCTTTGTTTGGAATATTTTTTGCGGTTTTTTAAATGAAATGTTTACGTATCGTAATCTGCCACTTAACATAACACACTACTACACGTAAGATTAAAGTTATACACTACTGATATATAATATATTGACACCTTGTTTCAAAATAGTAAGGATTTATTTTAGTTTTTAAAAATACTAGTTTAGACTGCGTTTATATATACGTAACGTATACTGAAATAATATTTAAATCACTTTAGTTTTAGACTTATTCTAGCTAAAATACAATACAATATAGAAAGACTGTATGCTTAAATCCATAAGTTTTTACTATTTTTTAACACGGTGTGTTTTAGTTAAGTTTTACTTGGTGACACATGGTTTTATAAAAGTACTATATATAAAGAGATGTATATGTATAAAGTATATGAGATAGAATATAGAATATTTATGAAATAGAACTATATCTGATTCTTATTTACACTGTTTTGTTTTGTTGTGGAATCGGGCAAGAGCTCACTCCAGAATGAAATGGATTAAAATCGTGATAAACAGAAATTTACTTTCAGCTTCAGATAGACTCGCAATTCATTACCTACCAGAGATTACATAAACACAACCGCATTTTTAATAAATTTGTTCCTGAAATTTTATGTCAGCAAGCTAATATAACACCTCTTTTGGAGACAATCGACTGGTTACTCATTTTCAGATTGATTACACAGCCACACACAAAAAAAAAGTTGTCTGCACTTTTCATACGACATACTAATGTTATTCGTAGTATTTTTGCCTCCTGATCACGAATCCGGTGTCAGAATTGAGCTATCACATCACTAGAATATCCTAACCTCAAAATACAGGTCAAAAATAGCAAAAATTCACGAAAAAGTGCTAGGAAAAGTACACAAAATTTTTTTTTCTATATTCAAATGTTCATTTATATGGTTAAGACCCCGCCGAACGTGAATTCGCGGTCAGAATTGATGGTTCTTTTTCTAACCTAAAAAAACGGGCCAATTAATGTCAGATATCACAAATTTTCAAAAAATAACAGATTCGCCCCAAATTTGGTATACGGGGGTTTTCTGGATCGCTGATCAAAGGTCAATTTTGCAAAATTCAATATGGCGGATCGAAGATGGCCGACAAAATGTTAAAAAATAACAGATTCGCGCCAAATTTGATATACGGGGGTTTTCGGGGTCACTGATCACGAATCCGAATCAGATTTACAAAATTCGTTTTTAAAAATTTAATCAATTACCCAAGTACTTTAAGAAGGTTAAAACATGATTGAGTACCCAGATTATAAAGTAAACAAAAGCATTATAAAATGTATTTCGCAATTCTAACCTCGAATTCGTAATCAGCGATCCGGAAAACCCCTGTATACCAAATTTGACGCGAATGTTTTATTTTTTTTTTTAATTTGGTCGGCCACCATGGATTCGCCATCTTGAATGTTGCAAAATTGACCTCGGATCCGTGATCAGCGACCCCGAAAACCCCAGTGTCCCAAATTTGGTACATATGTTATTTTTTGAAAATTTGTTCGGCCATCTTTGATCCAGCATCTTGAATTTTGCAAAATTGACCTCGGATCTGTGATCAGCGACCCCGAAAACAACTGTATACCAAATTTGGCGCGAAATTGTTATTTTTTGAAAATGCGAAATTGACCTGTTTTTTTGAGGTTAGAAAAAGAACCATCAATTTTGATTGCAGATTCACGTTCGACGGGGTCTTAACCATATAATTTTTTTTTTTTTCGTAGCACTTTTTCGTGAATTTTTGCTATTTTTGACCTGTTTTTTGAGTTAGGAAATTCCTATGATGTGATAGCTCAATTCTGACAACGGATTCAGGAGGCAAAAATACTACGGATAACATATGTTGCATGGAAAGTACAGACAACTTTTTTTTTGTGTGGCTGTGTTATTATTATTTTCTAATTGGATCAATTTTAAATATGCCTAAGTATGTTGAAATTAATATTGAATAATATATAGGAACAAACTTTATTTCATTAAAGTCAAAGTGAAATCTAATAAAACAGTAACCAAAATTTTTAAAATTGTATTCCACTAAAATTAAAGCAGTGTTTTTTATTTCTATAAGGACTAGCTAATCGATTCAAGGTTTTAAAATTTAGTTGTAATTATCGCACTTGTTGAGGTTGGATCATAATAAATTTACAAATATTTGTGAAAAGAACTTATCAGCAGAAAACTAGAAAAAATACATGATAATGGAGACAGTAATATATCTTTAATAGGACTGCTATGGATTGTGATAACTGTTACTTCTTTTTAAAGAAAAAAATACAAATAAGTAATGTGCAATATTAAATCATGAACTGACGCAAACTTGATCAAACAGCTTCTTCTTATTATTTTTTTTTTAATCATAGCAGTTTTGATAGACGGTAAATTTTTTTTTAACGATATAAAAATTTTAGTCTATTTGCTGCTGTTGAATAGTTTTGTTGTGGTAATTCACACTACCAAGTTGTATGAAGACTTAAAAGCACAATTTATTTTGCAGTTTTATTTTACCTTGTCATCAAATTTTCTAAACATATTAATAGCCTCTTTCAATTTGAGTTCCTTTACCCATCTAAAAGGAAGAACTAATTGTATTAAAGAAATGAGATTCACGAATGCTGCTTTTCGCGAAACTCAATCACTGATTTGTGACAGGTATCGTGATATCAAAATACTGGTATTCGATACCTATAAAGTTTTGCTTTACTACAGCGATACATTTTTTAATCGTGAGTTAAACAAACCAGTTTTTTAATTTGTAAACAATAAAAATTTACAATACAATTACGTTGTTATAAAAACTTATTGTTTATAAATGGTGAATTGTATATATAATAATTGGTGTTTATGCAATTTCTTCTCCAAAAATGCCAGGCAAAATAGTTCTAATTTAAGTTAGTTTTAAAAGTGCTTGAGAAGATATTAACCACTGCCAAAAAATTGTTAAGATAGTGTTTTCAACCCAGTGTTATAAAACTATTTATAATTTGTTGTTAGTATGGAATTAACATCACAACTTTTATATTTTTATGAAGAAAATATTATATTATTAATTTTGTATAGAGATTTTATATTATTTTTTTTAGTCGTTAAGAATGGACATTTGACAATGGTTAATATCAAGTTTAACATTGAGAGGCTATTATTAGTTGTCGGTCATATAACGAACCATGCTGTTTTAGAGATTGCGAGATAAGCTAAACTCATGGCTGTGTTACATACCTTCTAACTTTTATGATATGTAATGTGCCCTTTTGTGTTAACTTTTTGTTAAATAAAGAAATACCTTTTTTTATTATCTTATTTCTTGTGACGGATATTCTCATCTCGATACATTTTATATATAAGGCGGATGAACTGGCGATCATGTTTAATGAAGAGTTAACAGGACGTGCGTTACAACATTGTAGAATAGCCATTTTGTAAAATTGAGGGTTGGCAATGGGTAATGGTATCGCTATTGTTAAATATTAAATGATTACAGGAAAAGTGTTTAAAACATATTTCTAATGTACCTTTGCTACAAGAGAAAACTGTACATTTTCTTAATTTATTAGACTTTACTACTGGTGAAAATTTTAGTGTAGATGTATCTAACATTTTTTGTTTATATATTTTATTTCTGTTGGTATTTTGCAATTGTTAATTTTTGTTAATATTTTTGTTAACTTTGTCTTTTAAAATATACCCATCCTATGTACTATGATGATGATTCTTAGAACAAGAGGTACATGACACCTTAGTGTTGAAGAAATTTTAAGTCAAGTTTTAAGTATTACTTTGATTTACTACTCATTACTAGATTATATTTAATATAATTATTTATCGTGCACTCATAACTGAAAGAAGAAAATTAATTGATAACAGTGAACATGACGTTTACATTTAGGCAAAAAATTTCTTAATAAACTTGTGAAAAGTTAAGTAATCAAAGTAAATTACGTAATATTAATAATACACCTCTGGTTATTACTATACTTACAAATTTCTCATAAGGTCTAAAAATATTTTTCATATTGGATATCGGTGATTTATCAAAAACAAAAAATTAAATTAAACTTTGACTTGAGTGTTAATTTTATATTATATTACATCTTCAAATACGCTGTCACTGCTTATACTTCCAAGCATTGTCATCATTTAAATTGTATCCTATATGTTGTATATTTTGTGTTTACTGTATGACATATTAGTGTAATAAAAGTGCAATTTTCATGAGAAATAACAAAAATATTTACAAATATAATCAATTGTTTCTTGCACCAGTAGAAATTATATATATTTTTTTGTATTCATTTCTTTGCATTTATTTCATCCCTCTCCTCATTTCCTTTTATTTATTCACATTCATACATGCATTTTCATTTTTACATCAAGATGTTGTGGTCTAAGGATGCATGCAATTTCCTTACAATGTTTATACGTTTTTTTATCTAATTTTTCTAACTAAAGAGTTTATCTACAAATGAATAAGATCGTAAATAAAATAAAACATTTTGAAAAAAACGATTGCGTTTAGATGTGTTGATCACCCAATGGCTTCTGTAACTGCAGATTGTTAAAAGCTACTTATAGAAAAATATAGATAGGTAGTTTATTTTCTAATTGAAATATTTTCCCTTTCTTTCTCAATATTAATAACGCATATTATAAAACAAGACGTTTAATCATTTCATGATGATGGGAAAAGTGTTAAGGGTTATGCATCGTTTCGAGTTGCTATATAAAATTGTTTGTAAAAATTTAAAATATTTGCAAACAAGTTTTAAAGTCAAATAGATTTTTAATACACTTTCCAAATGATAACAAATTATTCTCGTACTTAATCTCATACTAAAAATTAACAAAATTATTAATAAAATTAGCACAAAATCAACATTTTGTGTATACCTGGGTATCAAAATGTACATCAAATGGTAATACAATTTAAGATAAGATGATATGCTTAAAAACAGGTGTGATTAGATCATGACTACAAATTTTTGTATCTTTAAGCTCGAGTTTAAATCACTATTATTAATATAAAATAATAACAGTAGACTATTCATCTCCAAAAAGAAATTTTATTATCAGTAGGTATCGCAACTGAGTAAATAAATCTATGTTTTACACATATAAAATGATCAGTGTTGCACTGTATTTCTGGTTGCAGAAAACTTAATCTATGTTTCATACGAGGCTTCATGTAATGTATGTTTACAGTACGATGGATATACAGAACATTCAGCTATTTTTATTTACTTGTACCTACTTAAAATAGGTTCATAGACAAGGTAATATACTTGAAATTGTTTAACATCAGTTGCACCATCCTTTTCTTTGTAAACACTAGGTACAAGGTACAAAATATACCTAATCAAAAATTACCTTAGACTAAGTACTTATTCCATTTTAAAAATGAAAATCAGCCTCAAATTTTCCTTTTATTATAATTTTATAACACCAACATTACCTACCAGTAAATAAATTATTTACAAATTGAGCAATTTGCCCACAAATTAGAAAAATTATCAGCATCTTAAGGCGGGTATCCATTTGTGTCAAATGCCCCGTAACGTAACACCTAACGTGTTACGTTACAATTACTGGAGACGGAAAATTGTTGCATGGTACGTGTAACAAATTTGACACGCATAACTAATCCGGGACGAATCATCAGTTGTCAGTTTTTAGTCGTCGCATCAAAGGGATGCAACAGTACCTTCTGCCACATGT